TCCAACAAACTTTTGTCGACTTTAATCAGCTATCTTACACAGAATTAATAATTAAATTGATGAATTCACAGAATTTTCCCGTAAATTCACATGTGTTGAAATTTGTCTTATTATGTACTGATTTACGTACTAATTTGTCATCAAATCATGCTGATGAAATTTGATTGACTGTGGTAATCATTGCATTGCATTATCATTTACTTATAAATTGCAACTTTATGTTAAAGCCTTTGCAATACCGTAACTACATAACTATAGTCATGCAAATAAAGCTTATGTTGTTGTTGTTGTTGTTGACAACCGGACTGGTGACAAATTTCAGTGGTTGTATTACGAAAGATAGTTTTCCCTCAATTCCTCCCAATTTTCTACTGATCCCCTATAATTTTATCAAGGTACTACAAATTTCAACATTACATGAGATTGAGGCAGTTTACAAGTTTTAATCCTCTACTAATCCCATGGAATCAAATTACCCTCCCCTCCCCTCCCCCCTTGCTCCGAATCCCTTACCCCTTTTGTTAGCTTGTGAACAAGCTCTCTGTTTGGGTAAAGGGTGAAAAAAAACCTCGTGATTTTTTCAGATCACACTTTCCCCAAACAGAGAGCCTTTTTACAGGCTACCCTTTTGTCGCTTGCTACGCAGGCTAGACAAATTGTCGCTTTCCGTGCTCATCTGTAAGCAAGAGAGGATGCTCTCTTGTCAGTAAGTAAACAGCTCGGTTAGGAGTTTTTCTCCCCCCGGGGTGGGAACTCATTGATGGTTCTGTTTGATCAATATCGATGTCTTAAACAACCGAAGTAGATGTGTGTGACTGGGATGGGTTCTAGCGTTGCTCTTTATGCTGCTTTAAAGTATTGTTTGGTAGCCAGTACCGCTCGCTAGCTCCACTGGGAGCAGTTCCTCAGGTAAATGTAACCCCAAATTACTGAAGGATTCCACTAGTTGTAATCAAATGTCGCCATCACCCAAATGCACCGTATTTTTAACGTTCAGCGTAAGGAGGAAACAAAAAATCTGGTGTTGGTGCTGGCTGCAGTGCCAATGGTCTGTGAAACATCTTACGAGGATCTCCTACAATGCTGGTAAAATCATCGTCCAACGTTTTCTTTCTGTTGAAGAATTTAAGCCCCAACCTCTCCCCCTCTCGGATGTCTTTGTTCCGGCTCTGAGATTTGAAGTTTTCTGTGATCTGGCGGCAATATAGTTCCCAGTCTCCTAACGGCCACCTCCCTACAACGGAGTCAAAGAGGACCAAAGAGGGGGTCCCCGCTTTAAGCCCGTTTCCAGGGCGTTTTCCGGAGAAAATGGGAGGGGCGGGAAATGCTTTGCTTCAGTACCTTTATTTGACTTTCTATATAGGTAGTCACTTCTCTATAACAGACACAAAAGGTGTCCGGGATACACGGAGTTGACTGCAGTGCTTCAGTCGAACCCCCAGGGTATCTTCAGGTTTGACACATTTCCCCGCTCATTATCATATCAGTGGTTCAACAGAATCAGTATATAGCTATACTATATGCCAGACGCTTCCTTTCATTCAATGATTACCCCTACCCTTAACACTTCCAAAAACCCTCTTTTCAGGTGATAGAAATGAAGTTGAATTTAGAGTCGGTATATCTTCAATAACTGAATATCATTTTGGTGGTATAAACGTCGAGGTTTCTTTTCGGAGAATGAAATGCCACACGGGGGTACTTTCAAGTTTCTGTAATGGCCTACATAGGAAGGCTCCGCCCGAAAGGGGTATCTTTTTCAGGCTTCAGGTCAGTATGAAAGAAAAGGGATTTCACCAGTTGAAGTTTATGAAAGGGTAGCGGCACATCTAGCTGTCAGTTTCGGTCAGGAGCCCATAACCCGGACCGAGCAACTTCCATGAGCTCGTGTCTGACGGCGTTTTCATGGACCAGTTTAAATATCTTTTAAATTCCACGAACCAGTCAGCAAAACCTACAGACCTAAAAATGATATTTTTTGCCTTTTAATAACGTTTAGTTTCGTTTTTGATATCTTATACTTCGAATGCCCTCAGAGACATGGTGGAGATTCTGTGTTCGCGGGAAAAAGTGCCCTAAAATGTGTCTAAAAATAAAATGGTCCGTAAAAACGCCCTGACATAGGCCTAGTATTGGAGTTGCTCTCTCCGGGTTATGGGCTCCTTTTTCGGTCTGTTAAAAGGCCCAAAAGTGCTGAGCATGCTCAGAGATGTATTTTATGGGTGTGAAAAATTCTGGGGCACGTGCTGATTTTCTTATTTATTCATATTTTAAAGACAGTGTATTTACAGCAATTATTTTTCCTTTGCTCGGTTTTCTTCGTTCTTTTTAGGGGAATATGTTACATAATCCATCACAGTATTATTCACTGTCTGAAAAGTTGGTGGCGGCTTATATTGCCTAGGGGCGGGGTGTGGGGTTGAAACAATTGGTAGCTGATAACAATAAGAGAACAATGGACTATATTTTATCATTCCCTGCTCATATTCCCCGGCTCAACATGTTTAACCATCCTACTAAAACTACACAAGTCAGAATTTTTCGATTTAGTGTACTTACCACATTTTCTTGGACTTCCGGCTAAATCTTTGGCGGCTGTCAGGTTGTCATAGCGCAAACTAGATATTCGCATGACTTACCGCGTCACTTTTAAACGAATCTGACATTACATCTCCAACGTTTACCCGCGAACGTCCTTATTTGATTCATTGGACAACTGACACAAAACTCTGTCGCGGTGAGAGGTCCGAAAGAGTTTCCAAAACTACTCTGCCTTAACGTTAAGAATAGTACTCCTCTGAGTTACTCATCTCTTTCTGATAAAACGACTGTTTGACCACTCCACACGAATTGACAAATTTCCATATTTTAGAATTCAACCTGAAACAATGCGACTCTCTTGGGAATAACCATTTCTAAAGAATTAATTAAGGTAATTCCTTTGAAAATGATGTACTATTCAGATTTTTTATGTCCTCACCCCCTCCCCCGAGCCCCGCCCTTTCAAGAATTCCACAAACTCGGCCTTAAAAGGAAAAAAATGGTGACAGCCCCCCCCCTGACTGTCTTAAGGTGATGTTACACGGGACGATTCGCAACGACGATTTTTAGCGCAACACAGCGTTGCAATGTTGGAACAATGTTGTAACGATTCGAAACAATGTTGCAACAATGTTGCAACGCTGTGTTGCGCTAAAATCGTCTCGTGTAACATCACCTTTAGAAAACCGAAACTGTATATCGGTTGCCGACACGAAGAACTAAGTTGTGAAGGGAGGGGTGACTGGGAGGGCCACACAGTAAGAACTAAGTTGTGAAGGGATGGGTGACTGAGAGGGCCACACAGTAAGAACTAGGTTGTGAAGGGATGGGTGACTGAGAGGGCCACACAGTAAGAACTAAGTTGTGAAGGGAGGGGTGACTGAGAGGGCCACACAGTAAGAACTAAGTTGTGAAGGGAGGGGTGACTGGGAGGGCCACACAGTAAGAACTAAGTTGTGAAGGGAGGGGTGACTGAGAGGGCCACACAGTAAGAACTAAGTTGTGAAGGGAGGGGTGACTGAGAGGGCCACACAGTAAGAACTAGGTTGTGAAGGGAGGGGTGACTGAGAGGGCCACACACTAAGAACTAAGTTGTGAAGGGAGGGGTGACTGAGAGGGCCACACAGTAAGAACTAAGTTGTGAAGGGAGGGGTGACTGGGAGGGCCACACAGTAAGAACTAAGTTGTGAAGGGAGGGGTGACTGAGAGGGCCACACAGTAAGAACTAAGTTGTGAAGGGAGGGGTGACTGAGAGGGCCACACACTAAGAACTAAGTTGTGAAGGGAGGGGTGACTGGGAGGGCCACACAGTAAGAACTAAGTTGTGAAGGGAGGGGTGACTGAGAGGGCCACACAGTAAGAACTAAGTTGTGAAGGGAGGGGTGACTGGGAGGGCCACACAGTAAGAACTAAGTTGTGAAGGGAGGGGTGACTGGGAGGGCCACACAGTAAGAACTAAGTTGTGAAGGGAGGGGTGACTGAGAGGGCCACACAGTAAGAACTAAGTTGTGAAGGGAGGGGTGACTGAGAGGGCCACACAGTAAGAACTAGGTTGTGAAGGGAGGGGTGACTGGGAGGGCCACACAGTAAGAACTAAGTTGTGAAGGGAGGGGTGACTGGGAGGGCCACACAGTAAGAACTAAGTTGTGAAGGGAGGGGTGACTGAGAGGGCCACACAGTAAAAAATTACCCGAGATCGAGACACTTTGGGGAGCTAATTAAGCTCCACTGACAGCTAAATAAGAAAGCTAACTAGCCAAGCTAACTAAACGTTTCTAACTAAGCGTTTCTTTACCAAAATCCAAGATCAGATCAAAAATCCGGATCATTGGGATTTTTCATTAGGAAAAGAAACGTTGTATCCAAATGTGAAAACATGTTTTTCACTTAAACACCAGTGTGGAAACAGGTGTTTTCCTTTCACAAAAGACTCAAGGAGGGGGGTCCCCGCTTTAACCTTGTTCCCAGGGCGTTTCCCTGAGAAAATGGAAGGGGTGGGGACTGCTTTACTTCAGTACCTTTACCTTTATTTGACTCTCTCTCTATGTGTAGTCACTTCGATTGGGAGATTGCTGGAAAAAATGTGTGTGTTCCTCACTCCCAGCAAGACTGATGGAAGAGTTCCAAGGCAGCAAGGTGTACCTACAACATGCAACCTGACGTACTGGGGAGTTTCCCAGCAGACGTATCTCGAGACACTTCTGACCGGTTTGGGTGAGGCCACAGGAAAAAATTCAGAAATTGGGGGGGGGTAGAGGGGGCATAGAAACATGGGTGTGGCCAAAAGGCGAATTTATCCCTTCAGGGGGTGGGGACGTTTCTGGCCAAAAACTCATGCCAGGTATTCTACACATCAAATCCCAACAGACACCCACAGTTATATTTTTCCAAGCAACACTTTCCATCTTTGGACATATCACTTCTTCCAAACTCCCATCCAGCAAAAATTGACCTGAAGAACATATATTTTTTTAGAAACAGATCTATTGGGTGCCCCTGATGCATGTTATGGCTGTAAAAAATTCTGGAGCACGTGCTGGTTTTCTTATTTATTCATATTTTAAAGACAGTGTATTTACAGCAGTTATTTTCCCCTTTTCTCGGTTATTTTTGTTCTTTTTAGGAGAATCATTTGTTAAATAATCCCTCGCAGTATTATTCACTGTCTGAAACGTTGGTGGCGGCTTTGATTTAATAGAGGCGGAGTGCGGGGTTTGAAACAATCAGAGCTGATAACAATAACAGAACTATGCGGCAATATATTTTTTCATTCCCCTGCTCATGTTCCTCTGAACATGCTTAACCATCCCACTAAAACTGCACAAGTCAGAATTTTTCCAATTTAATGTACTTACCACATTTTCTTGGACTTCTCTTTCTTCGTCGGCTGTTGTCATAGCGCAAACTAGATATTCGCATCACCGGCCGCGTCACTTTTAAACGAATTTGAAATTACATCTCCAATTTTTACCTGCGAACGTCCTTGTTTGCAACGTGACTCGTTGGACGACGGACAAAAAACTCTGTCGAAGTGGGAGGTCCGAAAGAGTTTCCAAAACTACTCTGCCTTAACGTTAAGAATAGTATTCCTTTGAGTTACTCATCTCTCTCTGGCAAAACGACTGTTTGACCACTCCACACGAATTGACCAATTTCCATATTTTAGAATTCAACTCAAACAATTCGAGTCTCTTGGGAATAAGCATTTCTAAAGAATTTATTAAGGTAATTCCCTTGAAAATGTTGTACTATCCAGTTTTTTTTTTATGTTCTCAACCCCTCCCCCGACCCCCGCCCTTTCAAGACTTCTAGAACTTGGGCTTAAAAGGAACAAATTGGTGGCAACGCCTCTGACTGTCTTAGAAAACCAAACCTGTATATCGGTTAACGGTTGCCGACACGAAGAACTAGGTTGTGAAGGGAGGGATGACTGAGAGGGCCACACAGTAAAAAATTATCAAAGAACAAGACATTTTGGGGAGCTGACAGCTAACTTAGAAAGCTAACTAGCCGAGCTAACTAAACTGGAAACTAAGAGTACGTTTCTTTATCAAAATCTAAGATCAGATAACAAATCTGGATCATTAGAATTTTTCGTTAGGAAAAGAAACGATGTATCCAAATTTGAAAACAGGTTTTTCATTTAAACACCAGTGTGGAAATAGATTTCTGTCATCATAAAAGGACAAACGGACGACGGGGAAAACTCTACAATGCTCTCTGGGAAAGGACTTTTCCTGAGGACACTCGCTGGCTGCGAAAAGGCGCGGAATCCCTTTCGCCTGTTGAATACCCTTGAGACAACAATTGTACACAGAAGTTGGCTCCAATGTAGAGGTTTAATCCAAGACGTAACCAGGATGTAACCGTAGAAATTCATACACAGCACTCGTATTTAAGTCTAAGCTATTAATGATGCGATACAGATCACATCATAACTCAACGTGTCAAAATAACCGAATACAAAAATCATTTCTGAAAGACTATTGGTGGAAATGGAAGCTTGTAGTGAAGCATTAATTACTTCCAAAAGTTTACACAAGTGGATATAACGGTTCCTCACAGGTTAATTATAGCTTAGAGGCTACTACAATCATGACTCGAAAAATAAGTTTACGTTCAATAAATATCAACAGGTTGTTTACCTTTTAGAGAAGCTAGGACTAAAGAATAAAGAATTTCTACATTGGCTTTTCATATTTTTTATCAGCGAAAGCAAAATAACTTAATAACAATAAATTCTCTCTTCACATTCCTCCACCTTAAGTTTCAGCTGTCCTCAGCTGAGTGGAGAAAAAAAATGAAGTTAAAACGATAATTGTCTTAAAGAGAAAAAAACAAAAGCGCAGCGAATAAAACTGGAAACTTGTATTTTGCGTTTAATTTTGAATTTTTTTAATATTTGTTTTTCTGGTTTTTGAAATTTTGTATTTGATTTTGTGCCTGAACCGCGGCATAAACCGAACTAGCCTGAATATAGGGGCCTCGGGGGTCCAATTAACAAAGCAATAAAATAAGCAAATAAAATAGAGTACGCTAACTGGAATTTGTAGCGTTTGTGCAAAGGACACTTCGTGAGGTCAATTCATGTGCATTCCTTTTTTCTTTTTTTGCAAACTTGCGTAGAGCCATCCGTTCACGCGGTGTCACAACAGGGCTAAAGACGCCGTGAGATAGAAAAGTTGAGACCAGATGTTGCTTTGAATGCGTATGACTAATTTAGTATAGAACCTTACCCTGTGGCTGGGGTTGTTTCAATTGCCCAACAAGGTCTCACAGGTTCTTACACTGTCCTAAGAAACCAAATCGTTTGTCTCCGAGTTCCTCGCTGTGTATCGTTTGCCGACACGAAGATCTAAGTTGTGAAGGGGAGGGGTGACTAATCATGAGTTGGCCAAACAGTAAAAAATTACCAGAGGTCGAGACCTTCTGGGGACTTAAGCTCCACAGGTAAATAGCAAAGCTAACTAGCCGAGCCAAGAAACTGGAGCATCTGAATTAAGTAGTCGTATTTATACGCAGTTAAACAAATGAATTCTGCGACAGGAAAAAGGGGTACAGTAAACGGCAAAGTTACGACCAACTTGCAGATAAAAGGTGCCAACAATAGAAATAAGAAAACTTGATATTGAAACAAACCACACGCGAACAAACCTATGAAATAGCAGTCCTACGCATAACTAAAAGCGAGTAAATGTAAAACTACAAAATTAGTGATTTAACCCAGCAATTGAATAAGCAATTTGACTACAAAATTAGAACTGAGACCTTTGTAGACAGTAAGAGTAAACTGATCAGCCAAAAGAATAAAAACTACAACTGTGTAACTATAATAAAAGCATCAAAAACTATATCATATTGTCAATAGACACGTCTAAAATGACTCTGTAAAATATGGTATAATAATAAAAATAAGAATTGACTACTGATTCCTGATGTCCTTCTCAGGTGACTACTGAACAAGTTACTACCGCACAAGGTGTGCACACGACTAGTCTTCTAAAACAATCTACGAAAAGTACACTTGATTTTCTCTTCGGGATAAGAAGTTCCTACGCGATGAACGCTCCACTTTGTATTTGTTATACAAAAAAACTGAGTTCAGCTTCAGATAGGAACCGCTTCACTGCATTCGCTTCGTACCTATACAACAAAAACAAGAAAAAGAAACGTTAGCAAGCTAGTAAAAGGAAAGAAAAGTGATTTACGCCGGTGAGGTACAATATTCTAAATCTGTTAGAGCAAAGGATAATATTTAAACTGGTAACTTCATTCTACAAAGAGCCTTATTGTAGATTATTGATACTTTCATATCGTAAATCCTCTATGAAGCCCCCCTATCCAATAAGCCCCTCCCCCCCAATTTCAGGGAAGAAAATTCTTTCTTTTTAACCCCCCCTCCCCCTATTCTTAAATAACAGACGTATGGTAGATGTAATAATTAATCACGATTGTAACACCTCACGTGGACTGATCCCGTTACGGTTTATTCATGTCCTGGAAGTTCAAATTTGTTTTTGATCTTCGGCTGCGCGACCTCCAACTTCATATGCTTCAGTTTTTCTACTTTAGCTTCGGTCTCTATTCGGAATAGAGAATCGATAGTCATACCACAATCTTGGCTTAATTAAATAACCCCCTCTCTAATAACCCCCCCCCCCTTAAACATGCTTGAAAGAAATAAGTTCCCCGGAGGGGGGCTTAATAGAGGATTTATGGTAGGTTCCTACCTTTCAGTCGGTGAGTATGACTTCTGTTACATCTCATAACCGACCACTCATCAAAAATACCAAAATCATTTTTCCACCCAAAGCACTATACCTGGAACCACTCCTAAGCGACTACCGTTCGTAAGTGACCGGCAAATATTGGCATTTTAGGTGGTCCCTTACGGCAGGTTCTACTGTAATGTTACAATGGAACGAACTCAAACAGGGCCACTAACACCTTGTAATGTACAGAAATGTTCTTGTGTTTGACTGCTTAAAATATCCTAAAGTCAGAGTCCTTTTTAACTGCTGACATGACCTGTGATTGGCAACTTGATGTTAGGTGGCGCCGGTTGAGTTCGTTGCCCTGTAAAAATTTTGTTTAAACACGTAATATGATCCCAGGTTTAAATACATCCCAAAATACCTTGCTATTTAATTGATGCCCTCAAACTCAAGCGTCACGTCGTCACCAATGAGAACAAAGGGTGCCCAGTACTTCACTGCAGTAAAGCGGTCAGATTCTCTCATGGATTTCATGGCCTCATTCAGAGCCTCACTGGCACTTCTTCCCTTGACTAGTTGTCGGTAGAAAAATTCCATGAACTCCATCGTAGCCTCGTCTTCAATCGCCCATAGGGAAACCAGAACAGAACGAGCACCAGCACCCAAAAATGCCCGTGCAATACCGACCACGCCCTCAGATTTGACGTCTCCGCGAGCACTGTGACAGCAACTGAGTACAACAAGTCTTGCCTTAATCTGCGCCTTTAAAACATCCTTCATAGTTAAGAGATAGTCTTCTTTGACTGGAATCGGGGATGAACGTGTTGTGTTTGGCGCCAAGGCAATTTCTCCTGTTTCCAATTTACCGTGAGCAGCAATGTGCACCAAAGCAACTGAGGAAATACGTCTTAAAACTTCATCTTTTGTTGCATGCTTTCCAACAAGAGGTGAAGTTTGAAGTATTTCCCCGATCATTTGCACTTCCTTTTCGGCCCACTTCAACTGCTTTAATTTCTTTCCTTCATAAATTACCTCCTGTACCCACGGATCGCCGACGAGAAGAGCGCCAGTCTTACTGTGCCAATCTGCAGGACAATTTTGGATTAATCGCAGACAGGAAAGGGAGGGAAGCAGACGAATTCTAAAAGTTTCGCAGAGGTACTTTGATTTTAAGTCCAAAAAAGCCGCATAAGGCGCCAAACAGAGAGGTCCTTGTGGAACGACCACAACCTCATCGGCCTGGAGTAAGTCTCTTATAGGGTCAATAACAACATTGTACAATGTTTGTAATGACTTTGTCTCAAAATACGAAGGATGTGACTTTGGCTTACTGGATCTGGCTTCTGGTAACTTTTTATCGCTTGGGTTCCTTAATGAGCGATCTTCACAATTAACATCAGCTCTCACACCTATTTCTTTATGTGTAGTTTCCAAAAGAGACTGAAAATAGGTTGTGACGGAGATATCAATCTGAGCACTCCTGGTTTTGATTTCTTTTCCTTTCTCGTTCACCCAGAGAACTATTGCTCCCTCGTTGATACCTATGAAAGCTAAATTTGATGGTAGGTAACTAAAAATGTCAGGTGTTGTTACAGAGGGTGTTCCTATTTCTGGACGTAACCCTTTGAACCCATACTTGAACTCTAGAAGATCATTTAAGGCTTGGGCACGTCCATGATCAGCAGTTAAAAGTGCCTCAACGACTTTACCTTCGTTAAACTGCAACCCCCATAGCCTCAAATTAATATTTTCATACGTACTCCTAAGGCTAATCTTCCATTCGTCATTAGATATAAGATTTGTTCTGATATGGTCGAAGGCCATAACACTCTTCTTATAATAGTGAACGGCTTTCTCCAATTCTCTAAGATTGTGAAAGGCGTTGCCAAGATTAAAGTACGCTCCTCCTTCTCCTGCCCTGTCTCCCACTTCTTTCGAAATTTTCAGGTGTCGCTCATGATACTCTATGGCTTTCTCAAACTCTCCAAGATTGTCATAGGCGTAGCCAAGATTACCGTACGCTAATCCTTCTCCTACCCTGTCTCCCACTTCTTTCGAAGTTTCCAGGAGTTGTTCATGGTACTCTATGGCTATCTGGAAATCTCCAAGAGCGTTATAGACGTTGCCAAGACTACCGTACGCTCTTCCTTCTTCGGCCTTATCTCCAACTTCTCTCGAAATTTTGAGATGTCGTTCATGGTACTCTTTGGCTTTCTCAAAATCTCCAAGACTGTCATAGGCGTTGCCAAGATTACCATACGCTCGTCCTTCTCCTGCCCTGTCTTTCACTTTTTTCGAAATTTTGAGGTATCGTTCATAGTACTCTACGGTTTTCTGGAAATCTCCAAGATTTGTAAAGGCGTTGCCAAGATTACAGTACGCTCTTCCTTCTCCAGCCCTGTTTCCTACTTCTTTCGAAATTGTGAAATCTCGTTCATGGTACTCTATAGCTTTCTGAAAATCTCCAAGACTGTTATAGGCGTTGCCAAGATTACCGTACGCTGTTCCTTCTCCTGCCCTGTCTCCCACTTCTTTTGAAATTTCGAGGCCTCTTTTATAGTACTCTATCGCTTTCTGGAAATCTCCAAGTTCGTTATAGGCGTTGCCAAGATTACCGTACGCTGTTCCTTCTCCTGCCCTGTCTCCCACTTCTTTCGAAATTTTAACGTCTCGTTCATGGTACTCTATGGCTGTCTTGAAATCTCCAAGATTCTCATAGGCGTTGCCAAGATTACCATACGCTCGTCCTTCTCCTGCCCTGTCTCCCACTTCTTTCGAAATTTTGAGGTGTCGTTGATGGTACTCTATGGCTTTCTTGAAATCTCCAAGTCTGTTATAGGCGTTGCCAAGATTACCATACGCTCCTCCTTCTCCTACCTTGTCTCCCACTTCTTTCGAAATTTTAACGTCTCGTTCATGGTACTCTATGGCTGTCTTGAAATCTCCAAGATTCTCATAGGCGTTGCCAAGATTACCATACGCTCGTCCTTCTCCTGCCCTGTCTCCCACTTCTGTCGAAATTTTGAGGTATCGTTGATGGTACTCTATGGCTTTCTGAAAATCTCCCAGACTGTGATAGGCGTTGCCAAGATTACCATACGCTCCTCCTTGTCCTGCCCTGTCTCCTACTTCTTTCGAAATTTTAAGGTCTCGTTCATGGTACTCTATGGCTTTCTGGAAATCTCCAAGACTATAATAGGAGTTGCCAAGATTACAATACGCTCGTCCTTCTCCTGCCCTGTCTCTCACTTCTGCCGAAATTTTTAGGTCTCGTTCATGGTACGCCAAGGCTTTCTGAAAATCTCCAAGACTGTCATAGGCGTTGCCAAGATTACTATAAGCTCCTCCTTCTCCTTCCCTGTCTCCCACTTCTTTCGAAATTTTTAGGTCTTCTTCATGGTACTCTATGGCTTTCTGGAAATCTCCAAGACTGTAATAGGCGTTGCCAAGATTACAGTACGCTCTTTCTTCTCCTGCCCTGTCTCCCACTTCTTTCGAAATTTTGAGGTGTCGTTCATGGTACTCTGTGGCTTTCTGAAAATCTCCATGACTGTGATAGGCGTTGCCAAGATTACAGTACGCTTTTCCTTCTCCTACCCTGTCTCCCACTTCTTTTGAAATTTTGAGGTCTCGTTCATGGCAGTCTATGGCGTTCTGGAAATCTTTAGAGTTGAAATTGACGTCGCCTATATTACTTTTCCCTTTTTCTTCCTCTCTCCTTTCTCCAACTTCATTGGCAATCTTGTTGGTGTTTTGAAGATTACAGTTCGCTTCTGTTTGTCCTTTCTCATCCATTCCAATAACAAATTGCACATAAAATCGACTGCTTTCCCAGAAGATGGTTGTGGTTGTCACATTTTTGGCTTGCTTTGCTGTTTCAGCTCTTGTGAAAAAAAGTATAGATATGTTGTGGGTTTTTTGTCCGTTGATAACATTTTTCTTTATGTCATTAACGAAGATAAAAAGTAAAATTAAAACCTAGAGTAAAACCTTATCTAATAGCTCCTTTGTTATTTGGTTTTTGTCTTTCACAGTCGCATTTGATTTGCCACAAATAGTGATCCTTCTATGTGTTTTTCATCGTTATGTAATATGACTTGATGGACTGGGGTCTTCTCTAATAAAAGAAAATAATTTTTCTTTGAGGTGATAATGATCGAAATTTCTAAAGAAAAGAAAAAACAGATTTACCATTGTTGAAACACGGTGGACATAAATCAAAGGGCTCTATGGGCCAACTCGTGAATCAATTGAAGGTTTTTGTTTTACTGCGCTTTTCACAAACATGCGAACTCTAACGTTCAAAAGCCGCCTTCGCAACTGCGTTTTTCGCTGCCGTCAATCATAATTACGATCACAAGAAACGAACCTTGAAACACAGAAACGCACAAAAAGGATCGAAATCCACCAATCACAAATCGCAAACCTTGACCTTTTGAACCCGATTAAGAGGTCCATTAAGATGATTGACGGCAGCGAAAAACGCAATCGTCAGTTGGCATTTGAACTTCAGAATTCGCATGTTTGTGAAAAGCGCAGTAAGAGTGAATGCCTGTGAAAATCAAACAGAATCGAAAAAATCGCTGCCACGGTAAAAAATCGATTTCGCTCCTTTTTTGTGTGCAGTAAGCCTAAGGTGTGTAATGAAATGAAATGTGGTTAGTTTTTGAGAATATTCTTTTTAACGGCCACAAACAATAAAAAACCGTCTCCACGCACATTATCAAAATTTCACTGGTTTTAAACGTGAAATTACGCGGTTTTCAGGAAGTCTTTATTCGGACACAAAAACTAAATTCAGACCTTTTTAACTATAGTTGTGTACACTGGGTCTTCCTCTTTTTAAAAAAAGGAATATGTGTGGCTTAATGTTTTTAATAAGAAAATTAATATGTTGTATCTGATGTATCAGAACGAGATCGAGTGTTGTTGTTGTTTGTAGTTGATTGCCGATCAACATCATGTGAAGTCCGGAAAATTACGGTTCTTAAGGCTTTTTTTTCGAATTCACAATCTGCAAACATTTAATCTTTGGGAGGAGCATTTGACCACCACATAGAGCTTATGTAATGGAGAATTTGAACACAGGACGGGGCTGTTTTAAAAAGTTTCAATGCGCCCAGGTTTCGAAGGGTTGACCAGGCCTGTTGAAGTATCGAGACCCTCAATCGATCGGCACATTACCTCGACTTTAGAAATAGGAAGAGTGTATTTTTATGTTACTATCAAACTGCCACTAATTTATTTCACTCTGTACAGAACGCAAGAAATTTTATATGGCCGTATCGCTGAGTTTTGAAGTCGCGTTGATGTCAGTGCCTGCGTGGATATGAATAAATACTAGACTAATTAGACGAAGCGAGTATGACTCAGTCATGATCAGTCATCACGCAGTCGATTCTTTATTTTACAGTTATAGTCCAGAATGAAGGCAACACTTTGAAAAACGCACTATTTTAGCTTACGTGTGTCATTTAAACAACACAATGACTATAAATGAGCCAAAATTGTCATTTATCTGATTATTTTTATCTATCTCAAATCTATCGCGTGCGCCTTGTTGTTTGTGACCTAAATCTTAAGGTCAGATTGCGATTTTATGGAAATTTAGTCGGCGCTCGCTCGAAAACTTTGCAAGATCCCAGAAAAACAAAACAGTAACTTTTAACGACTGTATTTTAGGAATTTATGGTAGCAATATCAACGATTTTAAGGCACTACCACATGCTTTTCCATCGCGATGATTTAACCCTACTTTTGCATATCCTTGAAGGGCTGAAAATGTTCCTTAAAATTTCGAGTTTATTTCTTACAGAAATAACCTGAGACGAAAACTATCCCTATATTTTTACAAAACAAGGCCCCTACTGAATAGTTATAGCAAAAGAAGACTGGCTTCTATGTTTTAGATCGGTCAGTGTAAAATGCAGACTGCAGACCAGGGGTAAAATGCAGACTGAGTGTAAAATGCAGACTGCAGACTAAGAGTAAAACGCAGGCTGGGGTAAAATGCAGACCGAGCATAAACTGTAGTCGTGGAAGGGTTTAAGGGCAAAAAAATCCCGCAAATACATGTAAACGAACATTTACTTGATGACATCTGCTTTCACAAATCCATTCCTTTCTTCTCTGGAACGTCGTCGACGACTCGAAAACATAATCGCAATCTTGAACCTTTTTTCCATCCGAGAGACTTCACGCTTCAATTTTTGATGCGAAGTTTTCGATATACGTGACCAGGGACCGTGAACTGGTACAACACCACGATGTTTACGCTTAAATGAAAGCTGCTGACCCAAAATACTGTACAGGAATTATGGCGATAAAAACGGGAGGAAGCCATTCCAAAAACAAAGAAAGATGTTCTGCAGGAAATTTGGATGACCTTCTATGAAAGTATTGCAAATCAAGGTACGCAGACTTAAGCTCTTTGAATGTTCATTGAAACTTCTGGCGAATGAGCAATTCACTTGACAAGGAAGCGAAGTGTGTAACTGATACAAGCTAGCTATTTAACCGATTTGAAGAAGAAGGAGCACAAATGTTTAAAAAAGTCTACAGTCTTTATTCTGTATTTTACCCCAGCCTGCGTTTTACTCTTAGTCTGCAGTCTGCATTTTACCCCTGGTCCGCAGTCTGCAGTCCGCAGTCTACGTTTTACACTGACCAGTTTTAGATTGAACACGATTATTTTGAACATAGTGAAATTTTGAGCTGGCGCATAGCCAAATCCGGCAAAATTATTTTTAACGGTTTATTTCAAAAGGAAACCGTATTTCAATAAACTAGTTCCATTTTACTGAAGGTAGTACCTTAGCCTTTCCCTGGACAAAAAATGAGCCCAATCGATTTTTTGACTGTGGCCACGAATTTTCAATTTTTGTTTGATTTTTACTGACATTCACTCTTAATCCGTTTAAAAAGTAACATTTTACAAGATGTTTGTGTTGGGGGAACGGAAATGTTTGAAAAAATCGCCTCCCCTGAGTAATCGTCCCCGCACTCCTTTAGGGTCACGCTATGGAAAGTGTGAGGGTGTGTTCCAGGAACTTGCTCGCTACACGATGAGGTACAAGGACTCTGATTAACATCTTGGTGTTTATTCTTCTTTGACTTCTGCTAACAATCTTAATCTTCTTACTCTTCTAACTCTTTCACTCACCTTCTTCTAAAACTACCTTTCTTCTCTCTCAACTAGTTAAATAGCCGCCGTTTTTATAACCAAAGCTGGTCATGTTCTTTCGTTAGTTGACCGTGGGAATAAAATCAAGGTGAACTCGGTGTGGGTAATATTTTGGTATAAGTGAACCTACATGGTTGCGATCGGCGAGAAGCTACAAACAAACCAAAAACTAAAACGCTGGTGAACAAACCCAAACAGGAACTTCAACGAGACTAACGTACCAAGGTCAGCTCTAACACCACAAACACGACCACCTATAAAAAAGCGAAGAATATTCCTAAAATGGCCATAAGTAAATTCGCGAGCTAAGCATAAATTCAAGTGACAAGTAAAAACAAAATATCAAAACAGGAAACACTTATGTGGATAACTCAAGACTAACCTTGACCCACTTAATGAAACAAAAACTAAAGTTAAAAGATGAGATAAATCCTTCTCAAAAAAATACTTCACAACAATATACCCATAGCGGTGATCCTGGAGGATGAAGCTAATATAACGCGTAGTCATATCCAGCAAAACTGATCAGTGACGACTTAAGCTCTGACGCCGAGGACATTGACAGTGAAACTTAATCATCGAACCAAACTTTCAGCACTTTAAATGCCAATGTTCAGTTTAATTGATGTGATTATTTTTTGATTTCATTTGAAAAAAGAACAAAATATTGAGGACAAGACTTCTATTGAACAATATTTGCAATAATCGCATCCCTCGAATAATCGCCCCCTTTAATATATCGAATAATTACCCCCTTTCGGTGTTGAAAAAAAAACCGCCCCCGGCAATTATTCGAGGAAATACGGTATATGAGTGGGAAGGGGTTTCATTAGTTGAAGTATATAAAACGGCAGCGAAATCAGTCATCTCGGTCGGTAAAAAGGAGCTAATAGATGCATTTCATGGCTGTGAAAAAGACTAGAACACGTTCTGGTTTTGAGAGTAATGCACATTTTAAAGACAGTGCATCTCCAGCAGTTAAAGGAATGGAAAGATCTAAACTGCGTATATAAAAGGGACATCATTTGCTAATAGAAAGTGTACGAAAGGGATACTTTTTCTGTCAAAATGGTAGACTGCAAAGCAGTCCGTATTTTTGCGTATTCAAGTACGCGCGAGCAGTCAAACAAAAGGTCTGGAACGAGGCTGAAAACAGAGAGCGAGACCTGGGGAGAGACGCTAACGGGCGTGTGAGGCTCGGGCGATTCGCGTGCGTAAGACTCTTACGGCGCGCTTTACCGATTTCTTTACTGATTTTGAGAAAAATCCCGACTGTTTTGCAGTCTATCAAAATGGTATATGACTTATATAAAAGGGTAAGGAGTTAAACCTCTTGGGCCGTAGTCGTCCCCGTAAAAATTTTTTGAGTACCCGGCCCAAGGGAAAATATATCCTGTAGCCCTCCCTTTTATAAGTAAGGATTATGCTAATAATGCATAATATATTATAAATAATTATTTCTCACAGTGTCATGTAGAATAAAAAATATCATGAAAATAAATTCTGAATTAAGACGTTTAGCGTTTGCGGTGGTACGCAGCCTCCTTTTAGTAGCGTGACG